CCCCCCCCCCCCCCTATTTCCGGAAACCACCACCTCTCACACATGTGGCGGTAGGCGCAGGATGCACGGTAGTGGTTGTAGAGCTGTCGGGAACGACCTTCAGCTTTCTGGTAGAGCTCTCCCAGCAAGCCAATATACCTTAGTTGCTGAGTTCATAAGCACACTTTCAGTTCTTATAGGGGACTATAGTCTCCCCAAAAGTGTAAAGTGTACTCATTCAGCTCCTGAGATACACATTCATCACAACCACAGTGATCACCATGCTGATGATGACGAATTGGTATCGCACCTGAGCACAGCAACCCAGAACCCAAGCAACAAGCTCGGCTCAGAATACCTCGCAGACGACTTCTCTTCTTAAACTAGAATGGAAGGCCTGAACCCTATAAAAAAACCCTAAACCCGACACACCGACGAGGACAGCAGGGCGACACACCGACGAGGACAGCAGGGCGCCGCCCTGTGGTATTGGTCCGTCCAGTCGGAGGAATCAACATCCACGCTGCCGATGATCTTCGAATTGGTCGCGTTCAGCCTCGTCAGCTTTGCCACGACCTTGTCATCCAACCCTTCCTTGGCTGGTTTCCTAGACCCTATAACCCTAAACCCTTACAAACCCTAAACCCCCTAAACCCTAAACCCTATAGCACACTCAGCCCTATGACCTTCACGACCAATCTCAACTCCTATGGCAAAGGCTTTGAGCTTGAAGACAACCGGGCGTCCAACTCGGCCAGATCGAAATCTCCGAGAACAGTGAGGCGGAAGACCTTCAAGAAGGTGTTGAACACGTAGTTGTCCAGCCAATGGGCGGTTTCGCCCACATTCTCTTCAATCGGGAAGACGTAGTAGGCATGGAAGGCTGCGAGGATCATGAAGCTGAGGAAGAACAAAAAGAACCTTGGGCGACGGTCAAACGCCTTACTATACTCCCCTTAATTAGAACCTGAATGAAATAATAGTCTTAATATCCTCTTGGGTTTGATATAAACAAAAACTCCCAAAGGGGATATAGCTTGAATGCTGCTGACTTTGCCTTGCCCTCGACAAACATCGGGAAGCGAACCCTGACGGAATGTCAGTCCGCACGCCCTACACTCAAAACCCAAAACCCAAAACCCAAAACCCGAAACCCTTCACCCCAAATCCTATGCAAAGCCCAAGACATCCACACACCACCCGAGGAGCATGGAAGCGGGCTGGCATACGGCGATGACAACCGGGACCATGTTGCGTCCAACCTGGCTTCTCTGGCCGGTTCTTAGTAGGGAATGAGGGAATGAGGTACCCTATATATAGGGCCTATACTAAGAACCCGGCAGCCTTGGCCCTTCAAGGTTTTGGGTTCAGGGTTTATGCAGGGTGTCCAAAAAAAAGTGGCTTCTGAGTAGATTGCAGCGTATATTCAGGGCGGTAGGGGGTTTGCGGCTGAGGTCTTCCGTTTCATATCCTAAACCCTAAACCCTAAACCCTAAACCCTAAACCCTAAACCCTAAACCCCTACCCCCCGAACCCTAAACCCGTAAACCCGTAAACCCTAAACGCTAAACCCTAAGATCGGTGCCTCCAACGCTCAGATGGCCTGGGGCTTTTATGGCTTCGGGCTGCAAATCCTAACCCCAAGAGCCCTGGATGATCGAAAATTGCACACCCTCAAGGACTTAGGGCTCAGGGTTTAGGGTTAGGGTTGAGGACTCAATCTATGAATCCCAAACACGTGAGCTGCTTAAAGGCCTGCTCCATCTGCAGAAAGCTTGTCGACAAGATTGTCCACCGGATCAGAACGAGGCTCCTGGGCTTAGAGTTTGATGGCGGAGCCCTGCCTCAATGGTGCCTCAATATGCCATGGCGCCGTTTCGGGTATAGAGCCCCACTCTTGTTTCCGGGGAGCCTGAGCCCTAAACCCTAGACCCTCCCCCGACTTTTCAAGACGCGCGTCGACATTGTGGCCGGGTTCTCTTCGAAGAAGTGGAAGGAATCTCATGCAGATGCAATTTCGGAATGATGACTAGGACAAGTTTCCGGAAACCCTATACAAGCAGTAGCAAGCACAGCACGAACCCTGGGCACCTGGGGGATTCTACCCTTATGCCAGGGGAGTGCACTGCCGTTTTACTCCGCAGGGGCATGGGTTCTTCGGTCTACAGGTAGCGTACTTGACTAGGACATTTCTGGCTCACCCTCTGCGCAGAATTTGAGGTGGAAGTCCTTTTAACCCAAACCCTAAATCCTAAACCCTAAACCCTGCCAATGCAAAGGTCAGCAGCTCTCGATGGAGTCTGGGATGCTCTGGTTGTGCCACTTAATGCCACTCCAGGTAAACTTAATGCTCACCCAGATCGAGAACAGCTCGGCTGCAACAATCAATACGTTCCAGGTGGTCGTGTGCTTGCTCACTGCTGCGAAAATACCGGCGAATATGTGGTTGCAGCCGCCGGACGAATAGACGAAGAAGGTCGTCTCTATGATGACCTTGCTGACAAAGTTGAAAGCCACCAGGAAAGCCAAGGACAGAAAAAGATACAGCGCCCACTGCGGACATTCAGCACCCATCTCCATGGAGCCTGTCAGTTCGACAAGCCACTTCGTCGCACTCTTCGTGTTCACTATTTGTATATCTAGTATCTATATATACGATATGTATGTACGTATGTAATTATCAGCAACGAAAACCGAAAACATAACATCATCTTCCAAACGCTGTCGAGTTGAATTGAGGGTTTGCGAGAGCTAGACAAGCCAAACTTGGGGCTTGGGCCCCACAGACGACACCGCCGCAGCTTTTTTCACTCCTGTTATTTGAGCTATTGTCAGAAGTAAACACTCCTTCGAAGCCCTGTACTGAAGGATCCGATCGTGCACTTACACGGGGCAAGTAGATTTTGTGATTGCTCAGCGCGATTGAACTTGTTCTGGGACCTTCGGGAATGAATCTGTCCAAAGAGCTCTCACGAAGTGTGTGGCCCATGAACACCAGCACGAAAACGTACAGGAAGTCCTGCACGGCTTGAGCTCTTTGCGGCTTGGGGCTTCCTTTAGGAGGCCCCTAGTGGCACAGCACCTTGTGCTAACCGCCGACTGCAATCGAGAGCCCCTGGCTGAGTTTCTAACGGGAAAGGCTTTACCTATTTAAGGGGCTCTGCAGTGTTGTTAGATGTCTTGGGGGGGCCCCTACATCTGGGGATGAAGCTCCCTTTTGCGCCCAGGCCTTCAGAGCGTGCGTCCATCGGATGTAAGCAACGCGCTCGCATGCCAACTCTAGCACCTCTGCGCGCCGCGGGAGCTTCACTTCCCTTGGGGAGGTTCCTGTGGTGGGAGGTTTAGTGACGGTTTAGGGGTTCGCATCCATTGGTTTGTTGCTCAAAAGCACACAGAACAAAAACACATAAACACAGACAGACAGACAAGCAGACAGACAGAGAGACAGGCTGTTTCTGTAACTCCCAACCAGAACCGATTTCTCAAGAAAAGCTGCAGGCACAGCCCTTCCCAGCGGCGTCACAAAGCCGTGGCTGAAGTGCCCCATGTCCTCTGTAGACTCAACAGTAGACCCTCGAATCCGGAACATAAACATAACAAAACTTTATGCTAAGGTCCGTAGAATGGTAGCCGTAGTACAAAAGTAACGTAAGCTCAGGGCAGTGCTAGAAAAACACATGCTTGTAGAATGAAGCAAAGCAGACTCCCCCCCGGACTCTGAACCTTCTGGTCGCCCTAAACCCTCAATCCCAACCCTAAACCCTGCAGCCTAAGGCCTAAACCCTAAACCCTAAACCCTAAACCCTAAACCCTAAACCCTAAACCCTAGAAAAAGCCCACGGGTGTCCACAAGCGACTTCAGAACCAGGGTGAGCTCGAAGTCAGACTGGCGCAGTAGCTGCACAGCAGGGGTCACCTTGAAATGGTTCCGGGCTTGGCCTTCTAGGGTTTAGGGTTTAGGGTTTAGGGTTTAGGGTTTAGGGTTTAGGGTTTAGGGTTTAGGGTTAGGGTCTAGGGATTAAGGTTACTGCTTAGGGTTCCAGGTTTTTCAAGTTCATGGTCTGGGGTCTAGGGTGTTCAGAACACCCCCCCCCCCCCCTTCGAACCCCAAACCCTACAGCTTCAAGGTTTAGGACGATTTAGGTTAAACTCCTCAACCCGACAAAAACTGAAAGGCAGACGGTGAGAGGTGACTGGGGAGATGTTGGCCCAGGGACGCAGAAAGAGGCGCTGTACACCGCATTGCCATCTCCGAAAAAGACCTTCGGGGTCCAGGGCTGAGGAAGGGTTTAGGGTTTTGGGTTTGGGGTTTAGGGTTTAGGAACCCGTAACCCCTCAACCCTAAACTCTAAACCCTGTCAAATACAGGAAAAAGGGGCCCACGGGCCTTATTCTGAAAGTGGGTCTTCATCAGCCACAGGGTCTCGCTGCACACGTCGCTCTCATGGCCACTCCCGAAGGTGAGACGCCGACGGGCTGTGTCCCACTGCTGCCGATGCTTCTTGGAGAATGCCTCCTCTCTGTGGTTCAGTGGCTTAATCACGATGTGTTCCCCCATATTCAACAAATAGATAGGAAAATATAAATAAAAACACAAAGAAAATCATAAATACATTATATATATATATATATATATATATATATATCTATCTATCTATATAGATTCAATCTCAACCCTAACCTCTAAAGCTTAGAAGGGCGTAAAGTAGCGGCTTCAGGTCTGGTGGGGGTGCGGGGGGGGGGGGGGGCTGACCAACATTACGAGACCTTTTCGGGCAGCGGCTGACTACTCCATGGAGAAGCTTGACCATTGGCACTTACGCAACTAGATGCGGTTCTCCATCGTAGTATGCCAGTGCCAGCCTGGACCCGTAACTGCATCAACCCCTCCATAGGCCGTAGTTGCTTATGCTCGTATCCCCAATAGGGCACGCCTATATGTATGCACATACAAATATATACATATATGCACATATAGATGGTGGAACACATGTACATATGCATACATATATAGACTCACCAATCACGAGCCATGTGTACATGTACAAATGTATGAATGTATGTATGTGTATGTGTATGTGTATGTGTATACACTCGCCAACAACAGCAGTACAAACCCAACTTCACACTCACTGCCACCCCTTCCCCCTCACCCTCAGGCCTAAACCCTGAACCCCATCGGAACACTTCCTGGTACCCATACTCGTAGATGTCGGAAGGTGGCTCGCAGGCCGGATCGTGGCCGAGCACATGAAAGTCCTTCCCAACAAGCCCTCAAATCAAAAAATCCAAACACAGAGGGTTTAGGGTTTAGGGTTGTTCAGATTACCCAGGGCTTGATTGCTTTTTCATATCTCTGGCGGTGCACGGCTCGGGGATTTAAGGCTGGGCGCAGTGGGCCCCTGGAATTTCCGATTTAAGACAATGATCTCTTGGCTGTTATTCGAGATCCTGCGCCGGCGGAGTTGAGGAACCTCAAGCCTAAACCCTAAACCTAAACCTTAAACCCCAACCCCTAAACCCGTAACCACATGGGCCACCTGCAACCCTAGAACAGCTCCTGCCCCATCTGCCTCTTCCACTCCGAGTGGTCTGCAGGGGTACCGCGGCCTCTGGGGTTCAGAGGTTTAGGGTTTAGGGTTTGGGGTTCAGGGTTTAGGGTTTGGGGTTTGGGGTTTAGGGTTTGGGGTTTGGGGTGTAGGTCTCAGGGTTTATATAGGATTTTGGGTTCAAGGAGCCCAAAACCCTAAACAACAAATCCCGACCTCCGATGGTGGCTACGTAAGCAGGAAACAACAGCCAAACCGGAATACTAAAACCAGAACCTTCAACCCCAAACCCTAAACCCGAAACCCTGAACCCCAAACCCTAAACCCAAAACTTTGTCCTAAACCCTAAACCCAAAACCCAAAACCCTAAACCCTAAACCCTAAGCCCTAAACCCTAACCCCAAACCCTAAACCCTAGACCCTAGACCCTAAACCCTAAACCCTAAACCCTAAACCCTAACCCAAGCCCTAAACCCTAAACCCAAAAACCCCTAAACCTCAAACCCTAAACCCTAAACCCTAAACCCTAAACCCTAACCCCTAAACCCTAAACCCTGAACCCAAAAATCTCTAAACCTCAAACCCTAAACCCTAAACCCTAAACCCTAAACCCTAAACCCTAAACCCTAAACCCTAAACCCTAAACCCTAAACCCTAAACCCTAAACCCTAACCTAAACCCTAAAACCCTAAACCCTAACCCTAAACCCTAACCCTAAACCAAAAACCCTAAACCCCAAACCCTAAACCTAACCCTAAACCCTAAACCCTAACCCTAAACCCCTAACCCTGAACCAAAAAAAACCTCAAACCCTAAACCCTAAACCCTAAACCCTAAACCCTAAACCCTAAACCCTAAACCCTAAACCCTAAACCCTAAACCCTAAACCCTAAACCCTAAACCCTAAACCCTAAACCCTAAACCCTAAACCCTAAACCCTAAACCCTAAACCCTAAACCCTAAACCCTAAACCCTAAACCCTAAACCCCACCTGCAAGACCCATGAGGTGCTTGAGGCGCTCCTGGACGCTGGGCCAAGCCTCGGGCTTCTGCTTAAGGAGTTTAGGGTTTAGGGCTAGGGGTTTAGGGTTTAGGGCTAGGGGTTTAGGGTTTAGGGCTAGGGTTTAAGGTCTTAGGGTTTAAGGGTTTTAGGGCTAAAGAAGTTTAGGGTTTAGGGCTTAAGGCGCTTTTGGGGTTAAGGAGTTTAGGGTTAGGGTTTAGGGCTTAAGGAGTCTAGGATCTCGGGCTTGAGGGTTTTTGGTTTAGGGCTTAGGGAGTGTAGGGTTTAGGGTTTTAGGATTTAGGGTTTCAGGAGCTTGGGGGCCTAGGGTTTCGGGCGAGCCCTGAAGGCGTTCCAAATGCAGCCTTGTGGCGAGCTCCAGACTCAGGCTGTTGATGAAGCGGCATCTGGCTTTCAACAATGTGACCGTAAACCCTTACACTTCAAGTGTTTCGGGCGTAGGGTTTAAACCCGAAACTTGGAACCCCAAACCGTTCTTTGCATGGGTGATGAAAAGCCCGGAGCTCTAAACCCCAATCACTCTCATTCCGAGATCCAGAGCCCTGGGCTTCTTTCATGTGTGATCTCGCCGCGCTAGAATCGAAAGAAGCTACCCAAAGCACATTGAGCAGCTTACTGGGTTCAGGGTTTAGGGGGTCCCTTCTACTGTTGATTCTGCACCGCCCTGGCGCGCAAAACTTTGGGACCGAACATCCGCACTCGAAATGCTCAACACACTTGCCCCTAAACCCTCAATCGCTGAACCCCTGAGACCTCTAAGCCCTCAGTGCTAAAGGAGGGCCTACTTTGTTTAGGATGGGTGTGTCATATTTCAAACATACAGGGTCTAGAAGGGGATAAGAAGGGGAACTCTTGAGACCAACCCTAGCACCCTCAAAGCCCTTGAGCCTTGTAATTGGAGGTTTGGGGTTTGGGGTTTGGGGTTTGGGGTTTAGGGTTTAGGGTTTGGGGTTGTGTGGCCGAGATGCAAATTCTCCTGGCCGGCTTCGGCAGTGAGCACGGTAATAATC